ATAATTACCTAGGTTGATCCTCTGCTTAATTATTAACTGCCAGCACTTTCTTTGACACATAAAATGCATGATTATATGTTTGAAACCTGAGTTAATGTTATGTGTCTTCTAGAGTCTCTAAGCAACAAGTTATCTTGCAATCAGAGTATAGAGAGAAATTGCAGCTCATGGAATTTTAATGAACTCACCTACAACATGCTGGGAACTGCCCATGTTTCTCTGAGAACTGAACAATTTGAATATGCTCTGGTAATCATTTCTGTATTTTGCTACAGAATATTTAACTGTTGTATGGGAGTGATTGTTTCAGCCACATGATTTTCTGTTTGTTGCACAAGTTTGAAGGCTGCCTGCTGCAAACTGCCTTTTAGTGGCTATGAAGAGTTCTGCTAACACAATTTAAAGAGTGAATCATTCACTTCGCAGCCTGTCAGAAAATGATTATTTTGTCCCAACTTGACCCCCTGCCTCACCCAAATCACAGCCTGCATCCCAACAGGACGGCTGCACGGTATCATGTCGACTCTACTGGATAATTTGGATAGCACAGCCACATGTGCACTGACTAATATACTATGTTTCATCGCCTACATTTACAGTGAATGTCAAAATGAACAAATGTAACATGTCTTCTATCATTTTTCTGGGTGCAATGTGGTCCTTGTTTCAAAATGAGAAATATTAATCAAATTTATCCCAATTGGAGCATGAGGCAGAACAGATGGGGAGAATAAAATCAGATTTTGTGGGCTGCACAGTTCTGGCGTTGCTTCACTGAGGCTGTAGAAAATAAGGGAGAGCAAAAAATGATTTTCACTATACGGGCATCATAATCTCAAAACAGATAAATAAATTGATTTGGAAAGCCTGGCAATTGAGTTAAACATTAAAGAACTCTAACTAGAAAGTATTACTTCAAACATCCCCCTCAAAAAAGTGCCGCATGTTTTTCAGAATCCAAAGTGAGTCGAAAATTGCACCAAGTTACTAAAACTTTTGTTATCAGTGAAACCGTTAGTATCTAAAAATTCCCATTTTGTTCAAAAAGTGTTGAACTGGACTAAGCTCAGAGGATTAATGCAATCATCGCTAATCCCTTAATCTTGAACTTTTTTTTCTTGAAATAAACTTCATTACCCAGTCATGACCATGACTCGCACCGTTATTGACATTTGGGTCCTGTGTCACTCTTGCTTCATTAAAACTTTGCTGACTGCTGCATTTCACATTTTTCCATTAGCGAAATGATGGTCATTGTGTTCATTTATTATTGTCATGCACTTTAATTAATTGCTGTACAATGTTACTCCCCAGCAAAGGTCATGGAAATACATTTTCAGAGACAATAGAGGACAAGTGGAAATATACTGCAAATGTGCACAAAATAGCTTCTGGTCCCGACTTTTTGAAAATGTAAATGCAGCACATAAACTCGATGCAACAGTTTTGTTTGACATAAATTTATTTGTTACATTTTCAAAACAGCAGCAGGAAACTGGGAGGAACATTTGGAACTAGGAAATAAATCCTTGAGGTCAGTGAGCATCTAAAATCTATAGCAAATTATTGAAAAGCAGTACATTATATAGTCTAGAGTTGGCAGGGCAAAAAAAATGGACCGAGGCTTTGTAGCATTTAAGTGTTTTGTGGTATAATTGGCATCTTAATGAGCTTCACTGAGCTCTATTTTGGTTCCACAGAGATTTGTATATCAATCTTGACCTTGAAACCCAGGGCCAGGACTCTCATGTTTCTGGATACTCAGCCTCATTTTGGCTGTGACCTTCTACTGTCCTCCCTGCAGCTGCTCGTGATGCCAGCGAGCGGATGGACCCCTGCTGGGAAGAGATGCAGCTCTCTGCCAAAGGATCGATTTGCATCCATTAGTAGTGCAAAGAAAGGATGCAAAGTGAAATATTTGATTGTTTGCTTTCAGGAGGCAGGTCACAAATGAAGAAAAAGCATCTCCAGATGGCTTTTCCAATGTTTTGCTTATTTGCGATTAGACTATTGAATTCAGTAGTGTTAAGACAGACTATGCCATTTTGTGGTGCAGATGCAAAAAGGAAGGCAAACAGTAGTAAGGATAGATTCTCTGTAAAGTACACACAGACATCCTGTTCTGTCCCTTTGTTCCTGTCAGAATGGGGCTTGTGTGGTGGCCTAGAAAGTTTAACCACAAATTACAGTGTTGAGGAAATCCCCTGGCTTTGTTCAACAGGGAAGAGTTTAATAATTAGGACAAGAAGGTTCACTGTCCAAACATGATCTTAATACACACGATTTAAAAATATACTTTAAATGTTTAATTATAATTCACTCTGTTAGATTACATACTTCCAGTAATCATAATCATTTCCATAACTTTAGGGAATGGTGTTTCCTCAAATTTGAATTCCCAGAGTATTTAAAACTATCTGTAATTTGCATATTTCAATGGCAGACATGTTCTTGCTTAAAACATTTGTTTATTGTATAGTTACTGGCCCAACTCAGCACAGATCTTGTATTTTTATTCACATGAAACAAGATTTATATAAAAACTGCCATATTTCATATTACATGAAATCACTGCCATTTTAATCAAAGACGTCTAATAGGAATGAAACCTAACTAGCAACTATTCATGAATTATTAAATCCCACTGTATTACTGTAGGTCAACAGTGTTCAGCCTGAAGACACAAGGAAACTAAACCAAAGGAAACCATTTGCTGGTCTTATATTGCCCTCTTGTGGCCAACTCGGGTGATTGTTTCAATGGGTTCTGGACTAAAAGGTAGTTGTACTAGGGAGCAGCGTTGTGCTTACAATAAGTAATCACTTGATTTAACATCATGCTGATTCATAAATAAACTCCTAAGGGAAAGGGTCAAGTTACACTGTTAGGTGGCACCAGAAAACATCTCTCCCACTGGAATCTAATATGTGCCCTACTGGCTTTTTTTTTTTTTTTACATTGGTGGCAATATAGTTACATTTGTAATCTGTGACCACTTTAAAAAGGTATACACACAAATATATGTCATCACATATGCAGAAGCAGGCTAACATTAGAAATAAAATGTAAATAGTTTCATACTTGCAACTGCCTCCCAAAGGTATAATATGTATGAAATTGAAATACAGCATAGAATAAACCTCCCTGCCTTAACTACCTTCTGAGGTACAATGGAGAGATGCCATTAATATCCTATTTTTCTTTTTTTTTATTATACAACTAACTTGTTTTTATTTTTACAGCAATTTAGCATATTGTATATGTATGTGGTTTTATAAATTCCAAAATATAGGGATTGTTAAGTGTCTAATTTTATCCCACAAATCTTTGCAGTTTGCTAAACTTAGGATGTGTGCACAACGTCAGAGACAAAACAAATATCTGACATCAACAGCTGTGTCCTCAGGAGCCTGGTCAATCCAGACTGATGCCAGTAAAGAAAGAAAACAATACATAACTTTGAGTTGTGATCTGTTTCCATTGAACTGAAAGATATAAGACAGGACAAGCTGAGATTAGTTTTATGAAGAAATAAGAAATAAATCACATTTTATTAAGCAGTGACTGGAAAAAGTACAGATAAGTCATTGGCATTAAATTACAAAGTACTCTAAATTTACAAATAAGATAGACCCTTGTAAATAATGCTGCTTATTAATCATGTTTACATCTCAATCACAAAAATTACATGTACATATACATAGAAAACAACAGCCGAAATGTGACTGTACTCTATTACACTTAATATAATGTAACAACCCATATTCAAAACATATCCTGCAGTTTTTGTTTTCAAAAATAAAAATCTAGACTTTGGTGCTCTGCAGTATTTCTGCAGCTAAGAATATTACAGCTGGAGCCTGTAGCAATACTCAATATTAAAGTACAGTCATGGGCAAAATTATTGGAACTCCTGTATTTCTGTCAGATAACGCATCACTTCTCCCAGAAAAATGTAAGACCCATGACCTCTGACACTTTCTGACACTGGGCCTTACACTGCGCCCAAGAATTCATTGGTAGTCTTCAGATTTCATAATGCTATACACGTAGTCAAGACTTCCAGTGCCTGAAGCAGCAACGTGACCCCAAAACATCAGTGAACCTCCACCGTGTTTGACTGTAGGGACTGTGTTCTTTTCTTTGAAGGCCTCGTTTCGTTTTCTGAAAACAGTAAAATGATGTGCTCGACCAAAAGGCTCTATTTTAGTCTCATCTGTGCACAGGGTATTCTCCCAGAAGGACTGTGGCTTCCTCAGGCAAGTTTTGCCAAACTTTGTTATGTTTCTGTCAGCAGGGGGTCCCCCTGGGTCCCCTATCATAACATCCCTTGTCATTCAGATGTGCAACCTGACACTGTTGCACCCTGTGCCTGCAGGTCAGTTTGAATTTGTTTAAAAATTGATCAAGGTCCTTCATCCACCATTCGAACAATCCTTCGTTGCACTCTGTCATCCATTTTTCTCTTTCGTCCACGTCCAGGGAGATTAGCTACAGCGCCATGGGCTGTAAACATCTTGATAATGTTGTGCACAGTGGACACAGGAACAGCCAGATGTCTGGAGATGGACTTGGAGCCTCGAGACTGTCCAGGCTTTTCCACTATGGTGGTTCTCAGATCCTCAGACACTTCTTTGCTCTTCTTTCTTTCCTTCATGCTCAGTGTGGTCCACACCACAAAAAAGACTGGAAGTGTGGTTTATATTCTCTTTGCTGCTTAAAGTGCCTTAGATTTTGTGTTACTTATCTACTTTATATTTCATTTGTATTTTGTGGCATTTATGTGGACGGCAAAGTAAGAATTTCATTGTACAGGGAAACACGTTTCCTAACTGTGCATATGACAAATAAACACTTGGACTTGGACTTGGACTATACAGCCAGTACCTGTTGACTGCTCCAGGTGAGTTTCATTACAAATTACAGGAGCAGCACATGCTTTTAACTATTTCTGATGATTTTGAAGATGATTTTGATTCTGATGATATATATAGATATATACACAATATATATCTATATATCTATATATATAGATATATAGATATATATGTATATATGCACGAGATAACATCCCCGCAAAATAATACAACAGTAATAACACATCTAAGAAACAGGTGGTGTAAAGTTCTGCTGGTCTATCGAGAAATTTTAACTGGCACAATTACAGATAAACAGTAGTGTTCAGTATCTGGTCATGTGACAGGAAACAGACTCCACCTCTAAAAGCAATCTTCAGTGTAGTTCAGAGTCAGCTGAAGCATCACACCAAGGTTTCTGGCAGATTGTCTGCATTTTCTTTTGACAGTATCTGCAATATATGAAACCTCTTTGTCTGCGGATCCAGTGTAGCAGGGCAATTTTCCTGCCCAGGCCCAGAGGAGTCTACTGTATCTACAGTCTGGGGGGCAGGGCTCTGTCTGGACTGTTGTGGGGTTTGGGGAGCAGGCTGATGCTTGAAGAGGGAGGGTGCAGAGTGAGAAATATGGTTCTCCCTCAGAGGCCTGGAGTAGTGGAGCGGAGACAAATTATCCACTCTGACCTTAAACAGTGGACATGCAGGGCATTCTGTCCTTTCTGCTAAGTTGTCCAAGCTAATGGCTGCTGATTGGCTACTCAGTCCCTGATGTAATGATGATCCTGGTTGACTCTGTCTACTCTGATCACGAGGACCACTGCTGCTATGAGTCACTGAGAGGTGTGGCTTGCATTCCAAAATACCCAATAAGGTTTGTCTTGGTCTGATGGGCAACATGTTGTTACCTTGGTGACAGCTCAGCCCCTCTGATGATCCATAGGACTCACATTCCAACATGTCTCCAGGGGAGCCTGGAAGAAAACGTTCAAAACATCAGCGATCACCTCAAAGAACATCTGCAAAAACATGTGAAGATGATTATATTACCAGTGATGTGATGGCCAGTGAAATCTTTACTGAGCAGCTCATTCCAGAAATGGTCATTGTCACAAATTGTTGAAGCCTCTAACAGAAACAAATGAATGAAGAGGAATATTACTTTGGTTTAATGGACCATTGCATCAATGTAAAATATAACAGAGCCAAAGTTATGTTATTTTTTTAAAGGTACTTTCTATTCCCTTGGCCTTAACAATCTTTCTTTCACCTGTCTTTTTGAAAAGCCAGTAAAATTTGAACATCTCATCATAAGAGCTATACCAATGACTGTCTACCTATTCAAATTCATTTTCAATGTCACTTTTAAAATGGCTCAGCAACAGTTAAACATGTTTGGATCTTTGCTTATTCACAGGCTTTTACCAAGAGTTGAATACAGAGATCAATATCTGTGTCACATCTCTGTGGTGAATGTGAAACAGCCAGCAGCCGTTTAGCTTAGCTTAGTTACAGATGGGAAATGGTGAAAACAGGTAGCTTATTTCCCAAAATGTCTAACTAAACTTTTACATTATACTTTATAATAGCAATTGTGCAAATAATTTAGTTCACCTTTGTCAGTAGAGAGTGTAGGGGAAGTGCTGCCAGATCCATGTTTTGAACGACCACTGGGTTTGAACTGCCCTGAAAGTCTGGCTTCCCTGTCTGAGAGTGGACTGCTCTCTGACAGGACAGGGGAGTTGTTGTCATAAGGAGACACCGCTCTGCTAGATGCTTTACTGGAATCACTGGACAAATATCTCTCAGTCAGAGAGAAGGACTCTTCTGTTCTAAGAATCATTGGATGTCTGCAGAAACAAATAGATGACAATCTGATTATTTAACTTTAAGTACTACATAAACTGTCTTACACAAATATAGCATCGTAGAGGAACCGGGAGGCATAATGCATGCTTTATTTTGATTGTTTGGGCACTTGCACAGGGGGACAGCACACATACACACACATTAGCATGCAGTCACACAAACAAACACAGAGACAAAATGCGGAAACTCACGAGGACTGAGATGCCTTCCTCCGCAGTAAGTAATCCACAACATCAGGATCAGTTTCTAGCAAACTCATCAGCACTTCATTCTGCAGGTCTGGGGGAACCTGGGAGAACCAAAACTCTGTTTTACTGAAGCTTATTATAAAGAATGATGATGTATTTTTTTCTTACATTTAGTATGTCACATTTCAACTGAAAAGAATTAAACAGGTACATAAAGTATGCATCTAACAAATGAATTAGTCTCTGCACTGCATACAAATACCAGAGAAGCATCTTTTTTTAAAGTTTACCACATTCACTAACTTGTTTTTGTACACCTACAATTTTACATTCCCAGTATTAATGCAACATGTACTATAACAAGGACAAGATGATGCTTGTATGATATAAGGAGGAAATAACTGGCAGCAGTTTAAAAAGACTGTATTAATGATGCAGAGAAATTAGCTCTTTTTGCCTTAACTGAAAAATTTTTTAGCTACTCCAGTTAAATGCATCTGCACTTACGTTTCTGGTGAAAAGCAGAAAACATAATGTCCTTGGAAACCAAACAGAGGCTGGGTTGGCACATATTAACCTCTCCAGTGAGCCTAGTCATTTGCCATTCACTGAAAAGAGTATTCACTAAACTTAATTTTACAAGGTTTGGGACAAAAAACCAAATTGTATGAATTTCTGTCTTTTGCTGTGATACTTCAGCACTTTGCTTTGTAAAAGCTTAATCCTTCTCTAAACCCATAAAGCTCAGTAGGTGGCTCCAGTACAGTAATGTTTTCCCAATTGGGATTCTATTTATTAAACCCAGGCCTGTGTTGAATTGTTTTAACGCCTTTTGGTTTGCAGTAAGGTTTACCAGACAAATTACAAATTAAGGATGAGTTACCATAAATAATGCAGCAAATGCATTAATCATCCTTTGGACCACACTGATGATGACTGAACTCTCCTCTGCACGGGCGAAACTCTCCACTGCAAACTCTTTGTCAGAAGTTTTCTGTTTGCGCAAGAGGTTGGGTCCAAAGATGGTGGCCAAATTGAGTGATGTCATCTTGTTCCCTGTGATCTAAACAAATCAGAAGACAGGATTTAGCTGTATGGACAGACATTCTACCAAATATATGCATGTGCACACACAAGCACTTTAAGTGGTTAGTGTGATATGGTGGATGACAGTCCTTCAGCTACAGCAAAATACAAGCAGCCCAACAACCTGTCATGGTAGAATACAAGTAAGATTTATTCTTTTTTTTTTAGCTAACTCATCTTATTCACCAGCTTTTTTAGTAAACCTCCCACATTCCAACCTAGAGTAACTGTCATCTGAAATTTTAAGTGTTATATGTAAAATGTTTTTGAGGCTAGTTATACTGAATAAACGATGACAGTGGAGCCAAAATATAGTTTCTTTTAATCTGCCCATGTTCTTACCAATGAAGAATCACTGTTGTAATAAAAGCAAGTCTTTTGCTGTAAACAGGCCCTCCTTGGCACACAGGACATGTTGGGAAGTGCACCTAACACAAGCTTGCCACCACCAATAAGGCAGGCTCTGCCATCTATTGCTCTAAGAGACCAAGCACATCAGTTTTTTCAACATTTCAGTATGTATGTTCTTGGACCAAGGCCAAGATAAACTGGATTTAAAACTGTGGGAAATGACTAATCTCCACTGTGAGCATTAATGCTCCAAAAGTAAGATTAACACGTAAAGATGATCATTGCTTAAAAGGGACTTTGGGCCTAGATTTAAAAGGAGAAGTGCAATCCAAAGTGCAAGGTCAGTTATTTTATATGTGAATACATGCATTACAATGCACCTTGTTATGCATAAAAAACATCAGGTGAAATGTAATTTACTGTAACAATGATAACCATTATATTCTCAGTCTGTCACATTAATTACCACATTAGAACCATACAATCTAACAGTGCGGTGTATGACAAAAGAGGAGAGTACAGACTGGCTTAATGGGGACAGAGAGACATAATATTATCTGCTGGGTGCAAAGAAGCAAATGTAAATGTTGAGATAAACTGTGTTTACAGAATGCATCACCACAGTGTCACAGCTTCTCTACATTTCCTGTAGTTTACAACACATAAAACTGGGGGAATGACAAATTATGACAAAACAGTATGGTATATATAGATGCATGGCATTTGTAAGTTCATTGTAATGCAGAGAATTGCTGGTTTTGCATCATTTAATCAAGATACCCACAATGGATCATCGTGCATAATGGTCCTGTGCTTTGGCATGGCAGTTTCTTCAAATTAGAGGCTGCAGATGTTACACATATCTGTCCTACTGCCTTCCAGTGACTGCTATGATTCATCATAATCACATTAAACTTGTGTAACAGTTTGTTCATGTTATTCAGCATTATTCCATGAAAGCTGTTCATTGCCTTTCTGTACCTGCAGGTGGAGTCAATAAGTTATGACATGAGTGAGTGACCTGCTGCCAAAAGAGCTGGTCCTCAAATGTTTATTCTCAATCAAGAACAAAGACCCAGTCTTCATCTCAATATTAACATCTTCTCTTGTGTTTACTCATGTGTTTATACTGTACAGTTGGCCCATTGACTGTAGAAGACATGGCAACTATGTCAGCTCCTGGAAGTGAAGCCACAGTGACTTCATCGCCCCCTGGTGGCTGGTTGCAATATAGGTCCCACCTCCTCTATGTTAGAGGATGTGACATGAAGCAAAATAAAAACTCAAAGTACAAATCAAATACATTTTTCATAGAGGTCACTTCTGTAGTTTGAGGTATATGTTATCACCCTGATGTGTGTATAAACAGTCATTTTTCCAGTAAGTTTGCTTTTAAAAAGTTATTTGATGATATAAAAAGAGGTGTGTTTCAGTTGATTTGACATCTTTGTCTAATGCTGTCACTCCACTTCAGGTTGCTACTGCACATAGCCTGGCTGCAAAACAGCAAGATGGCAGCTGCTGTACACACAACATTTTGGCTTCACTTTTACATAGCGGAGACCATGTCCATCATATATATGTCTTGTTACAGGCCACAAAGAAGCAGGTGTTGCTGGCACTCATCTTCCCACTGCTATATAAACAGAGCATGTACAGTTTTTTTTACCTTTTGTCCTTCGTTGTCCAAACTGTCTTCAGCATGGGCGGCCACAGTGGACAACAAGCAGAGGAGGCGCTGCAGCGTGTCGCTGTTACAGGGAGGAAGCAAAAATATCAGGAGCTGGATGGCACTCTCTTGGTCTTTATAATCCAGCACTGCAGAAAAAGAATTTCAAATAAACCAAAGGTAACACAAGAATTTTTCTCAATAAATGTGTGTGAAGTGAGTGCGCTCCTCACACATTGTGTTGATAAAGGCCGTGTAAAGATCTCTGGTCAGCAGGGGGTCAGGCAAGTCTCTGAGGAATTCTTTCAGCACCGCAGCTACATCATGGACACTGTTCTCCTCATCCAAGAGCACCTCCCATCCCTGGTCAAACTCTTCCCGAAGCTGTGTAAAACATTGTGACAAAAATACAGCTCAAAGTTCATGTCATTTATTAAAGTGCAGAGGTGTTTTAAAGCTAACCAGTTGGCACCGTACCTGCCGGACTCTCTTCTTGGAACTCCCGACACGGAAAATTCCAACTGTCTGCAGACCTAAGCAAAGATAAAGACGCTCTCTCAGTGTCAACGCTGTGGCTAATGTTCATCCTCAAAGACATCCAAACTGTACAATTCAACAGCATTTGTTTCATAAATTCTAAGCTTCCACAAAGATATGTTTCCATTTCTATGTTTAGCGTTATTCCTTTAGTGTCACTTTGTGTTACTATTCTTCTGAATGTTACTTTTGAACTCTGACTATGTGTACCATATTTTTCCAGGTGCTGGCAGCAGACGTTCACTACCCTGGGCACCTGTCTGTAAATAGGGTTAAGGCTGAGCTTTTTGTCATGGTGCCGCTTCCTGTTGCCAGCTGCCTCTTCTGGCAGAGACAGCTGGAGGGCCTCCAAGAGCCGAGACTGGTTATCATCAAGATCAGTGATGCAATCCACAGACACTCCACCCTGTCAAGCAGATGGGTAGTAACCATACATACAGTGACTGTGACTAATAAAATGTGGTGCAGTCATTTAACAGCTACATCATCCACCCACTAAGCCATTATCCAAACAGTTGCAAATTCCCAAGGGACTCAAGTGCACAATTGTATACTCTATTGTTCTACAATAGTATGTCAGATTTATCAACAGAAAGGCCTACGTACCCTCCTGCGTGTTCGTGGGGCTACATCAGGTGTGATTAGAAGAGATGATTCATTAGGGGTCTCAGAAGTGGAGCTAAGGGATGAGGTGCTGCTGGAGAAGTCTTTGGTTGCTCTTTTGAAGCCGGAGTTGAGCTCAAGGTATGACAGCATCAATTCAGTGGGGTCGCTGTGCTCCACCCGTAGGGGATCAAGCCGCTGTTTATGGGCACGGTCATTGGAAATGACTTGCATCAGCGGTATGCCAAACGCCTGGGGTGTAGTGTCTGTGTGAAGGGCAAGGGAAAGACAGGGAGACTCTTGCTGGCTCCAAATAAACCGGATTCTTTAGATGTGCCAGTTACAGTATATCTGCATATTATACATCTGACCTTCTGGATCTTGCTTTTTCTGTACACATTCCGTTGTGTTTGCATCCAATTTTTTATTCAAACTTTTAAATAAATGCTTCACAATAAACATGACAAGAGAAATGCCAAGCACACTGTTCTGCAGTACAATATTCAGAGTGAGGGAGCACATACTTTCTGAAGTCCCTTTGTAAACAAAACTGGTACAGAGGAAAGAGGAGGCTATGCCAGAGGATAGGCTGTAATAAATGAGCCACCACTTAAGATTGTTTTTATTTCCCTCGACTGCTTGTCTGACAGAGAACATCACTTTCCAGCCAAATTGTTGCGGCGGGTGGGGCAGCGATGGGGCTCTCTCTGAGACTTCTTTACAGTACTGTAAAGATTCTGAATCACCAAGTTCTCCATGGGCATAAACATCTGAGAATGTCTTCTTAAATCTGTCTATACAACTTTAGCCAAAAGAATAAAACTGTATCTCTTCAGGTGGCAGCAGTTCACTGGGCTAGAAACTGGAGGGGAAGAAACATCTGACAGAAATCAGTGGCTCTAACCTAAAACCTAAAAATAAATATTATCACTGAGTGGGTGTGTGTGTAAAGGAGAGCACTACATGACTGTTAGATCATGTTTAATAAGGCAGTGAGAGCTCCTTAAAAAAAGGAAAAACAGCTATGGCTTCAAATTAGAGCATATTCTGAACCACATTACCTTTCTCTTTGTTCTTCTCTTTAGCTAATGAATCCAACTTCCTCCTAAGTAACCTCCTGTGCTTGTGTCCACCTGAAATGAGACAGATTTGTTACACTTACATACAGAACCTTATAGATAATATGCTGTTACACAATTCACCAGAGCTAACACAAATAAACAGGCGTGTCAAGACAAACATGGGAGGTAGCTCCTAACCCCTACACAAGAGTGTGCTTTTTCATAAGACAGTGGCAACACAAGTTTTAAAAGTTATCTTTTCTTTGTTCACAACCATAAACTGCATTCTTAAAGGACAGAATGACAGTAGACGGCAAGGATGTTTCCTACCGTAAATCAGGATAAGAAAGCTATGTGGAAAATTAACCCAGTTTGAAAACATTTTCAGTGTGCAGCGATGAATCAGCCTGTCACTGTAAAATGAAAGTAGACAAGTTCATGCCATGGAAAGAAATCATGCAGCAGTGGGAGGTTATGAGCACTATACCCTTGCACAACAAAAAAGAAAGAGAGAAGGAAACATTTCCTGAGCTTTTGCTATTCAGCATTTTTTGTTAGACATGCTGTGACAGGCTGTTGCCTGGGAGACCACAACAACTTGGCGCATAAAACGGGGACCGTAAGTGCATGTGTGTGTGTTTGAATACATTTAGGGATGGCGATGTGGCAGCCCAGGTCACGATCCCGAAGCAATCGCCTGAAGGCCACATCCTGGAGACGAACCCTTTCCAGCTCTGAGAGGTTTTGCAAAGGGACGGGCTTCAGGCCAACGCGACGTCCTGGCACGCTGCTCCAGGTGAAGTTACCCTGAGGACACACACACACACACATTGTTGTCACAGTTCATGACCAGCCATTCTCTACAAATCACCAAGTATGCATAGACTGGCATGCTGTATCTACAGTGACATGCTGTATCTACAGTATGCTTCACTTGCCAGCTGAAAATGAAGACATTAAAATCTGATGTTACTCCATAGATTTCTGAATAATCGATCACCAAAAATGAACATAAAAACACTCTGTAAGCAGCACTAGAAGTAAACATTGCTCATTGCCCATAAAGTCATTCTGATGGTTTAGTACTGTACTAATGACAGGGCAAATAATCTGATCAGAAATCCTCAACCCCTGAGCATCTTGATCCAGCACAGTCAAGCCAGTCATATGAGTCTTGTTCCAAAGAGGCGTAGTAAATCATTATCAGGATAAGGCTTACACTAATTGAAAATTGGGGGAGCTAATATAGAACGGGTATATGAAATTAAATTTCTAGGTGTCATAGTTGATGACAAATTCTCCTGGAAATCGCATATCAGATATGTTCAGAACAAAATAGCAAAAAATATATTGATATTGGCAAGGGTTAGATATATTTTGGACGGGAAAGCACTACGCATTTTGTATTCTTCATTGATTTTACCATACTTAGAGTATGGCGTTGAAAACTGGGGAAATACATACAAAAGCTCACTTCAACCATTGTATATATTACAAAAAAGAGCGATAAGAATTGTGCATAAGATGGGGTATAGGGATCACACCAATGGAGCTTTTTGTGGGTGTGGTGTATGAATGTTAACACTTTGTAATAATTCGTTAGTATATTACTTGTGTGGTGTAGAAGACAATTATCTAAGAATGTAATTATGTAAGAATGTTAACACTCTGTTATATTTCTTTAGTATATTACTTGTGTTGTGTAGAAGAGAATTATCTATGTAGAGATACTGCTTGCAAACCAATGATGGTAAGATGATGTCATGGGGTAGGACTGGATAAGTCTGACTTCTTCCTACTCCATTCAAGCATGTACTAGGTATAAGCAAGTTGATATTGGATTAGCATTTGTTGGATATGTGTAAAATTATGTGTGTTGATATATCAACTGTCTTTACATGCTTGAAAGAATAAATAAATCAAATCAAATCAAATCAAAGATACTAAAATTACTGTCACCCAGGATAAAAGTAAGCAAGAAATCCTCAGTTTCAAAGCTGGAGCTCAGAAACATTTATGCATGGGAAATTACTTTGACAGTAAGTACTAAAATTACTGTCACCCAGGATAAAAGTAAGCAAGAAATCCTCAGTTTCAAAGCTGGAGCTCAGAAACATTTATGCATGGGAAATTACTTTTACAGTAATCAATCACTAATGTCCTTCCAGTTGAAGATGTAACCCTTCAACATTGTTTACAATGCATACAATTATGCAGTGAGAGAGTCATGTTAGCGGTTGTTTACCCATTTTGTTCAGACATTCCTCTGATGTGAGCATATGGGAGTGGAAACTTTATGGGTTTATCTGATGTGATGCTGGATTCCCACAGTTTCTGTCCGCCAGTAAAGTGACGCCCTAAAATCAAAGCTTCTTACTTTATTTGAGGTATTACAAGTATTAACTACAGGCTTTTGAGGCAGGCAATACCCCTTTAGTGACTGCATAATAACTGATGGATCATGTCCCGACATGAGTTGTGACTGCACAATCACTTAGCAGTCATTGTCAAAGCTGGATGAAGTTACTGTTTCTTATCCTACCGAGCTCATGATTGCAGGGGTCACTGATGAGGCCAGTATTTTATCAGCTTAAAATGAAAATACCAAATCTGTCCTGGCTGCCTCTTAGGAAAAACACAAGCTATTTTGTCCATTTTGAAAGTAGTATTAACGATCAATCCTTCAATTAAACTTTTAAAATGCTCCTTTTAGTTTTTATTAATCTCTGTTTATTTAGAACAAAGCCAGGGATAAAAGAAGCATTTCTGTTGCAATGTGTTGACTGATTATTCATCAAAACCCTCTCCTGTTTCAGAGAGAACATCAAAGTGCACTTTCCTTGGCTGTGCAGGACCTAATTTTATATTGGAAGCCTTGTCGAAACACAAAGCTTTTGTTAGAGCTCCCTGGAATACAATGAGAGGAAACGTGCAAGGTAGTTCATACAATACAGAGAGCGAAAGCTCAGATTCCACTAATCAGCTGCACTTGGACGAGATCCAGTGAGGTCATGAATATTCCTCTGTGCTCTGAAAGACACTCAATTTGGCACCGTGGGAAGTATTTTCTATGAGAGCCATTACACTTTTCTAGAGATCTATACTAAATTCTGCACTGGATTTTTAAAAACTATATTTTTCTATAAATTACTCAGTCGTGGTCCTTTTTTTCCCAACAAATATTGTGCTGACAAAACCAAAATAATATCAGGGTGTCTTTTAAAGCTTGGAAACTACCAGCACCAACACACATTCATTTACATACATCTTGTTGTTCTTTAGATAGATAGATAGATAGATAGATAGATAGATAGATAGATAGATAGATAGATAGATAGATAGATAGATAGATAGATAGATAGATAGATGTGCACCAAATGGTAATGTCACACAATTAGCAACTGTTATTAACAAAAGCTTTTTGGAGGAAGGTACCGAATAAAGTTGAGCAAACGTTTAGATTCATATCAAAATGAGGAAGTGGAAGGAGGTGCACGTCTTGACTAAGTGTACAAAAATACTGGATATTTCTTGTAGTACTAGTGTGATGAGCCGATCTTGGGGGGGGATTCAATTAAACTAAAGCTCACTGAAACAACACTATATGCTTTCATAGGCCTTGGATGTTAAAGGTTTGGTTTTTACACACCTTTTAGGATATTTCTGTGTAATTGACCTCCACTATGGTGGTACTGAAAATCGCTCAGAAATCCAAGGAACTGTTCGCTTTGCTATTCTGAGACACACCAACAACCGCAGCTACTCACAAGATACTGGCTGCTTCGCTGGAGAAGGGGATCCCCCATTCCAAAGACTGCGGACGAGAGGTCGCCTGTCAAACTTGCAGAGCACCACTTCTTGCCATACTAACCGACGCCATCTGACTTTCAGGCGACACGCCCCGGACAGCCCACATGCATGCGGATACATCCCGGATCCAGGTCTGACTGAAAAGTGCAGCAAGTTCATGGACTGACTTGATGGTGAGACGCAATGCCCGTGACGAGCTCAGCAGGATAGTCATGCAAATGTAAATAAACAAATGCTTTCTAAAACATTATAGTGTCAGCGGTCCCTATCAAGACTGTTCTGATTAACGGGTAGCATTTTAAAGGCTTGTTCAACACAGTTTATTATAAAAATCGGCCACTTGGAGGATAAACCGCAGGTATCATCTCTCTAAATACGGTAATACAATAAGAGTCACTGTAGAAAATGAAACAAGTTCTAAACACCGCACCAAAATTGGCAAATAAACTCAAAGCGCACACAATTACCTTGTTTAATGTATTTGGACAATATAAGTTTGTCAAAATGCATTTTAACGACTCAGAGAATGGGGGAGAATATTCTCTAGAGATGAGACAATTTTGAAGATTCACAATATA